AATTTTATTAAACATATTTGCATACTGTATGTTTGTATTGTTACGTTTTGCAGCATATTTTGTTTCAGCCTCTACTAGCGTCCCAGTCTAACCCTAACTCAGCTGCCTCTCTGCAGAGGAAATGCACCCCCTATGAGCTGCATGGTGAAACTACTGTTGCCAGCCCAATGTCTTTCTTTAATTTATACAAATCTCCAAACAGTTGAAAGGCGAAGGGACAAGTAGTGTGACCTGGTGGGTAGGGCAACTGGGTTCTTTTCCTGGATCCGACACCGATTCACTGTGCGATCGCAAGCAGGACACTTGGGAGGAAGTTGTTTAAAAAAGTCTCCACTAATTTTGGGCACCCAACCTGAGACACCTTAGTCCTTATTTTCAAAGATGACGGACACACGTAGCTCCCCCCAGACTTCAGTCTGAGCTGTGGGTGCTCAGCACTTCCGAAAATCAGGCCCCCCGGGTGTCTGAACCTGGGCACCCAAATCTAAAATCAATGAAAGTTGTAGAAAATGTAGGCCATAAGTGCTCTGTGTCTCAGTTTCTCCATCTGTAAACCAGCTACATCATCCTTATATTATGATACAAATAATAATGAGTAACTCCATGCCCCATCCTGTGAGCACCCTGAACTCCCAGACGTCAAAGTTCTTAACTCTTGATTTCAACCACCACCCACCATTTGAAGTGGAATCTTTATGTTTCTCTTAAAAGATTCAGTGAGTATGAAGGAGGCTGAACTGTTGGCAAATTCTAATTCTGTAGCAAACCCGTCCCTGTCGGGGCAGGGACATCTGACGCAGCAGCTGCTGTGGAAATGTCTTGCAGCTAATTGAGGACAAGAGCACGTGTTCTGTGACTCTTGCAGGGTGTGATGGGAACACTTTTCATCTTTAAATTGACACTGGAATAAAAGATAGGTATTTGTATTGGTTTTAGGACTATAATTCACCAACACAAACCTGCACCGCTGCCGTCAGTGGGAGGACCAGGCCAAAATATTTCAGTGAAAACTATGGCTCTAAGCTGCTGTCCACGTTGGAGTGGAGATGAGGGAAGCTTGCCCGCTAGACATCATTCCCATAGGCTTTGTGATTGGCTGAGGTAGGCACCAGGTACCCAGGGAATGCAGGGAATGCAGCATCCTCCACTCCATCCAGTTAGAGAATGCAGTGTGCGCTCTCTCTGCGGGAACCCTGCTCCGTTGGTCTGGACTGAGCCACTTTCAACCCACCCTTCCAAGTCCCATTTAGAAATCCTGGGACGGTGTTGGGGCTAGATTCCACCAGTCCTCATGTACCAGTAACCCACTGGTGCGTGTATGTTTACAAGTCCCCTTCCTCTGTGCCCAATCCGTGGAGGATCTGAGTCTTTTACAGCCACGGTTACAAAGTCTCGGCTCATAAACTCAAGCTCTAGCAACTCTTGGTGTTAGCTCTGGAGGTCCCCGGTTCAATCCCCAGCGTGGTGGCCAGGATGGCAGCTGTCACACTTGCCCCTACACCTGAGCTACAAAGGGGAACAAAGACTATTTGTGCTATCTACCCCCACCCCCTTGCACATCTATACAGGGCATGGCACAGCCCAGCCCACAATGAACACACAAGAAAGGCTACGATTTAGTCACAGAAGTCACAGAATCCATGACTTCCAAAGACCTCCGGGACTTCAGCCCTAGCGGCTGGGAGCTGCAGGGTTCCGCAGCCTCCCGCAGCAGCAGGGAGCTGTGAGGTACTCCCGCCGCGTAAGGCAGTGATGCCCCCAAGCTCCCAGCTGCTGCGGGCAGGGGGGGTGTACCCCGGGGTTCCTGGCCCCCACCAGCGGCATGGGGGACCCCTGCAGCTCCCCACCTGCCGGCAGCAACACGGGGGACTCCCGAGAGCTCTCCCCACTGTCGCCGGTGGCGGCAGGGGATCCCCGCAGCTCCTCACCCGTCGCCGCTGGCAGCAAACGATCCCCACAGCTCCCTGTCCGTCGCCAGCAGGGGATCCCTGCAGCTCCCCACCTGCTGCCGGTGGCAGCAGGGGATCCCTGCAGCTCCCTGCCCACTGCCAGTGGCAGGGGGATTCCCACAGCTCCCTGCCCGCTGCCACGTGTCCCAGGGGGATTTCTACGGCTCCCAACGCCACTGCGGGAGGCAGAGGACCCTGCAGCTCCTAGCCACAGCTGGGGCAGGAGGGGCTGGAAGCTCCCAGCCCCATGGCATCTGCTCAGCCCCTTCCCCTTTTATCATGGATATTTTTAGTAAAAGTCAGGGACAAGTCACGGGCTTCCGTGAATTTTTCTTTATTACCCGTGACCTGTCCGTGACTTTTACTAAAAATATCCGTGACAAAATCTTAGCCTTACACATAAGCAATAACCGTTCTGCTCCTGCTCATAATGAGGTCAGTGGATGTTTGCCACTATGCAATCGGGCCCAAACACGGAGCTATCAGCCAGACCTAGCAATTAATGGGGACAAGGTGGGTTCTTTTGCCAATCAATTTAAACCAAAAGTCCCGTGTAAAACAATTAAATAAAATCATGATGAAAGCTCCCTGTAAAATCATTATTACTTACTTAGTGGGTTCAGCAGTGTACAGAATATGAATGAAAACAATATGAAATAATAATAACTATCATACATTTCTATTTAGAAGAGACCCCCCCCATCAAAAGGCAAATACACAATTAGGAACAAATCTGAAAGAAGCTCAGGCAAAATGGCTTAATATGTAAACCCCAGAGCTGGCACAGAATTGACTACGTGCATCACATTATACTACACTCCACACACCCCACCCCAACTATACACATTTAACATACAATGAAGGAGATGAATAAACATGGCTTGGGTTGTGGGGCGGGCTGAGAGCCCAAGAGTCATTATAAACAGATAGAATGGCATGCAAACACAACAGGGACTCTGACAAATTGATAGTGGATGAGAAGGCCTATGGGAAAGTACTGACTACAGGGGAAATATAATAACCCGTTGTGACGGGGTCCAGCTGGCCTTCACAGCGCCTTAAAGGAGACCCCCCACACCCTGACTACACCCCGTCCCAGGAAACAGCAATGTGTCAGGAAAGGAGCAGCGAAGGTTGGTCCTTCAGGCCTGCCTAGAGAGGACTCGCTGAAGCAGGCACCTCGGAAACTACACAGAGAGGGTTGTCCATGGGCTAGTGACAGCCAATCAGTGCCAGCCGGCTCCGATAAAAGAAGCTGCAGGGCCATAGATAGCAGGACAGTCCCTGGCTGGGACCGGAGGAGCAGGGAAGGATGCTTCTCTCCAGTCAAAGGAGCCTGTGAATTAGCCAGGGTTATCTCTGGCTACACTTGCATAGCTGGGTTTGCAGGTAGAGAGGGAGCTGGGAACCGTGGCTCTGAGCTAAGGGTGAAGGATAAAGGGGCCAAGTGGGAAGAAGCCTAGGGAGGTAGAAGCAATGAACTGAATTGAGCAGTATGTAGCTGCTGGGTATAGGGTCCCTGAGTTGGAACCCAGAGCAGTGGGCAGGCCCAGGTTCCCACACCAGCAAAATGGCATAAACCCAGAGAAGGGGGCGGGGAACAGGCCCAACCCACGCCCTGAGAAGGGAACAGGGCTCATTTGGAAGCCCTAGCAAAGGCCTGAATTTCAAGGGCACACAGCCAGGGCTGAAGATCCTGGTGTGGGCAGATAGACTCTTGCTGAACTCTTTGCTACCCAAAAGGAGCTTATTTGACTTCATGACTTGGCCAGAGGGCTAAGCCACTGAAATGCGCCAGGGGGCACCAGGAGTGGGAAAAGGCCTGCAGTACTGCATGCAGCCACAAGGAGGCACCCCTTAACACCCTTCTAGGAAAAAAAAATATTCTACAGTATTCACCCCAAATCACCCAGTATCTGGACCATTTTTGTAGTATTTGCTTTTATAAAGGAGCACTTGTAAAACAGTACAAGAGTATTTATCAGGACAGGAGATTTTATAAGGATTTTAAGATAATGGACTGCTTTGCTGATGGTGCCATCAATATCTTTTACCTGACTTAATATTCAAGGTCTCTGGCATTTATGATTTAATGGCAACAAAACCGAAACCCTGGGTCTGCTGTGAGAAGTGATTCCATAACAATGATATTGTGGCCTTCCAGGCTGATTCATTATCAAGGATTTCTGAATCAAATGTTCTCCATTTACAAGCACACAGACAACGATTTGTTGTAGCTGGCAGCTCTGCAAACTCTGCCTGGGATCTGAGAGTCAGGCTGGTTTCTTTCCTTCTCACACGTCGTGACCTGTAATAAAGGTTCTACAGGTCAAATCAGGCTCTGGGTGACACATGGGCAAACCAACTGAAGACAGTGAGGTTGCAAAAGTAAAACCTGCTGGAACGTACACAGATCTGTGGGTGATCCATGAGATGGAACAGAACCCAGCTTACTCCCTCTCAGCTGCATTAGCTCTGCAGAACTAAAAATTAATTCTCATCACTTGAGTGAGACGATGACTCTGAATTCACTCTGGGAGCAGCTCCATGAAGGAAAAGGGTGTTATTTCTACACAGTCACATTTCAGAGCAAGACTGCACTTTGATGTGAAGTCATGTCCATTTATCATCTTATGGCAGCTCCCATGGCTTCTCATGGTTAACTTATTGGTATTATTGTGACTGACGGTAGCAGAATCAACAAACACTATTTAAACAAACCAATGCAAAGGTTACAACTCATTTACCTTCCCCTCCCCAATATGTGAATCTATCCCTGACGCAAAAAAAGGGAACAAAGAACCCATCTGATCAAGACAACGGGGTTAATTTGAAACACCCTTCCCACATCACGGCTTGTTTGATCTTGTCTGAGTTTCTTCTGGGGCTTTTAATAATTGACATACACTCAGGCCTGCTTTTTGGTGCGTTGAGCCCTGATTGCCAGCGCAATTAAACTGTAACAACGGGGTTAAAAGAGAAGTTGGCTGACACTCAGCAACAGAAGACATAGAAACAAAGAGCACACGGGGACAAAAAGTGCATGCTTACCGGTACCTTCATTTTAAAGTCATCTCGATAGAGTTTAATGCCGATGTCAGCGATTGTCCTTTGAATAAAGCGGGAGGGCCGCAGGACAAACACTAGCTGCAGGTTCCCTGGAAATGCTCCCTGGAAAGAACATACAAGTGTTACAGAGCAAAGCAATTAAACCTCATTCCCACAAAGGAGCCCAGGGTCATTTTGGTTACCTTCTGACTCAGAAATTCCTCAGGAAGCAAGCAAAAGCGGGGGGGACGTAATGATTCTGGAGCTGCCCAGACTGCATGGCTGTCATCTGTTCCGTTCACCATGCTCCTGGCCCATCACCGACTGAAGTCAATGGAGTGACTCCCACTGGCTTCAGTGGGCTTTGGATCAAGCAGCACAACTAGATATGACCAAATGGGCAGATAGTGGGGACACAACTCAAAATCTTCTGCATCAAAGAACACAGACCTTTGCAGGCCACTTGAACTAAAGGAGAATCTCCCTTAAGCTACGATAATATCAGGGCTTCTCTCCTCTTTAGGCTGCAGCCACTAGAGGGCGACATAGTCACACACATTTGAGCAGGGCTGGCATTCCATTTAGCACCACAGTGGTTCTCAATCTTTCTGGGCTTAGGGCCCATTTGGAAACCTAGATGGCCTGTTGCAACCCAGTAAATCGCTTTAGTACAAAAAAATCTGGCTTACTAAATATTTCGTACCGACAATACGTAACACACACTAATGCAATAGGTACACGGTGAGTACCATCGTGGCTGCTCCGGTCCTGCTGGGCGTGACCTCCAGGGTCGCAGCACCACTCAGGTTTGGCCCAGCCCACCTGATTGAGGGGCAGCTGGTCCAAACCGCTGGCATCCTGTGCACCAGGTTGCAATGCCCAGAGCAGGGAGCCACGCCCAGCCACCACTCAGGATGGCACCACCGCTGTGGGGTAAGTGTGGGCAGGCTCTGCAAATCCTTCCCAGGGTCTCTGGAGCTCACCTCACCCCCTCCCAGAGCCTCCCCCCCATCAGGGACAGACTTGACACAAACCCAGGCTTCCCATGCAACCCTTTGATACCTTCTGGTGACCCAGCTTTGGCCCACAGACAGAGAAACCTTGCAGTATAGATGGAGGGTGACATATGCACATTACAAGACCAGATTTACCCTTCATATCTTGAAAAGATTTTATTTATCCCCCACAGTTTGTTCAGATAGGTACACAGCACCTTCCCCAGACATGTGGTGATGTTCATTTGCTATGACATTTGTCTGTGTCACATGGTCCTCCAGAGACCATGGGGGCAGCTGAACAGAGCAAGGAATGGAAAATATCTGTTCGAGATTCTGCATCCCCAGGAATTAACTTAAATCAAACTCAGACACCCAGCTAGTCTAAACTCTAATTCTACAGGAGTTAGAATTCAGTATTGCACAGAAGCATGCCCAGTCAGTATACAGTGCATGTTATATAAAATACGTATATTCATCTGCTGCTTTTGTCAGTGCCAGCAACCACTTTCTTAAATCTGACCTTCTCAAGTGAAAGCAGAAGCAGCATTAAAGAGTTTCTACCAGATCTGCTGTCAAGAAAACATGAGCCATTAGAGACATCTCCAGTGGGCCCCTTTGCCATTCCCAGTACCACACTATGTACCACAGGGACGATCTGTTACCTCTTTCATCTTGAGCAGCCCACTTTAAATCATTACAATTTGTCACACCGTCATCCCAGCGAATGGCCTCGCATTCTAATTTAGCAAGACACAAGGCGGCCGCATTCATTATTACAGGCTAATCCGCCTCTGCCGGTTAACGTGCGAGTTTGGCACAGATCTCCAGGGTGGGGAAGATGCTGCATGAACAGCTAAAAAGGCATGCAGGAGATCGTTCACTGTGCTGAAGGACCAGCGGAGAGTTCTAATTTCTGGAAGGGAAAAAGTAAACACAAACACCGGGCACTTACTGCTATCCGTGTCAGGGATGCCTTTACTGCACTCCATTTGTCCCGTCGTCTGTCTATAACGATGATGAAGCCAATACTGGCAGCCTCCAGACTGCAAAATAGATGAAACAGGGGTGCCGGGTTACATGGAGGTAGACCATGTAACAGTGCTTAGCACAACCCAGCCCCCTCCATGTCATAGTCCAAGCCCATGATTAAAACACAATGTACAGCAGAGAGCGTGAATAATCGGCAGATTTGCAAGTGCAGGCAAGCCAGCAAATTTCCTCTTTCCAGCACCAGGTTAGCAGCCTCCACAAAACATGAATATTTTATCCGTTATATCTCTTGGCTGCCTTGCTACTGGCTGCCAAAATTCTGTGATGTGAACAGTTTAGGATCACACATTGCTTTGTACTGGGACTGAAGCGGAAGGACAGATCTTCCTTGCTTTGCAGAAGAATTCAAGTTATTAGATACCTGTCCTCACTCTTAGGCATTTTGCATCATTTTCCTAAGATGCTGATGACTGACAAGTGCACTTATCTCTCACAAGGAGTGGAATTTACCCTTCCCCTCAGGATGCCCAAATAATTAGGGGGACAAAGCGGGAGTAAAGGAGATTGGAGTCTCACGTCCACCCAACTCACAGGCAGGCCATGGGGCTGCAAGCCACCCAATGGATGTTATGTCAGCATACAGGCTAGAATTGTGGCTACAGTCCCTACAAATGGGTGCTGAGCTACTAAATGCGTGGAATTGCAGATCTGCCTATTCAGGGCCAGCACGGAGCCCCCCTCTGTGAGGTGCAGGCTCACCCTGTATTCCTGGGGGGCTGCTACTCTCACCCTGCCAGCCAAGAGAGCTCCGGGATTCCTTGAGCAGCGTGGAGACTTTTCAGTGTGTGAGCGAGTTTACCCTGCAATGCATAGACAGCACTTCCCCCCTTGTCACAAGCCAACAGTCTTACTGAAGAATCACGACAGATCTGGGGCACAAACCAGACAGGACTGAAACAAACGAGGCAACCGCTTACAATCTGGTCAATAATGTGCTCCAAGGAATGGCTCAATATTAAAGGCGCCGCTCAGATTCCACCAGTCGCACCCCCCCACACACACTTAGAGTCAATTAATTTGTTTTACTGGGGAAAGGTGCCAGATAAATTTGTCCCAGAGACTGAGATCTTCTCGTCTAGTCCAAGACTGAGCGCAGCATGGGAGGCAGAAGTGAAAGTTTCCTCACACCAGCATGCCTCAGTTGTGTCCTGGAGAGATCATGACCTGGCGGGACCACTCATAGGTACCCGTGTTAGCGATCGTGTTAGTGATTCGCGCTAAGACAAATGGGAAGAGAAAGAGCTTATTACCCTGCTCCAAAGAGCATTTCAATCAAAGGGCCAAATGCTGCCTGGCCCTTGTACAAATGCAGGGCTCATCTGATTCCCCCATGCATGATCCATGCTCTGGAGAGCCCAAAGGCTGCTCCCACCCTGCTCTGCTGGCACTGTGTGGCTCCCTCAGGGAATCAGGGAGCGATGGGCAGGAGGCAGGTTACAGGGGCCAGTCTTGTGGGTGGTTTTATGATGGCCTGACTTACCACCACCCCACCTCCGTCACATAAGTCACCAAAGAGCCATCGGATGGTAATGATTTTGAACCACAACCTACCCAGTGCAGGATGCAAACCAGCAGTCTGGAATCAAAAGTGCCATGCATAGTTATGATGCTGTATAAGTGATCATCGCTAGGATTAATACTAAACCCCAGGAAGGATCTCTGAGCGACCTCGTCCCCCAGATCAATTGCTTTTACTGCTATCCTCTGATGAGAATTAGGGTATTCAAAGGCCAGAAAACCTTTTTTTAAAAAATGGCAAGGTTTTCTTTTCTCTTTAAATAAGTCAATGAACAGTCTGAACATCTGTTAATGCAGAGGAAGGGAGCAGCTGAAGCAATTATTGAGGTACCTCTTGCCTCTCACATGCAATAAAAATACTTCCCAATTGTTTCTTGTCAGTAGCTCGCCAAGTCTTTCAAGAAAGACTCTGGTGTGCATTTGCTTTAGAGCAGAAGAGAAGCAGCGCTGACATTTTCTTTGTTGTTAAACTGTTACTGGAAGGCGTGTGGGGGAACTAACCCCAGATCTGCGCATTGATGCTGTTTGATCTTACCAAACCCTTCAGCCAACTGGGACTAGAAACCCCTGTAACAGTTTGTCAGTCAGTCCCGATACATTTGGGCAAATCATCTATCAACTTCCAGCTGGAACGCGACGTACAGTGTCTATGCACGGGCACCCTGTCAGATCAGATGGAGAGGTGCAAGGATGTGTGGTTTGACCCAGTCTCTCTGCCACAATGATTGATGCTGCTGTACCACAGATGGAAAGCCAGGAAACTGGGTTATAGTACCAACATCTGGCAAGCTCTCTGGCTCGAGTGTATTGAAAGCCTCCACAGCGGAAAGGGAGAAGTTGGAGGTGAGCATGTGGGGAGTGACAAGGCCAACAAAAAAGTTTGGAAAGTTATAGTAACTTCAGGTGAGGGAAGGTTTCCAGGGATACGTCTGACACTACAGCAGGAGAAGAGGCCCCTTCAGCAGCACTGTTCATAGAATACCCTCATTAGCACAATTTCTGCTTGAATTAGAAACACTGTAACACACTTGACCTGTGGAAAGGCCTCTTCACATGATTTCAATTACTTCCTCCCTTGTGTGTTTAATGCACATTAATTTTTTCTCCTTTGTTTAGTGGCATGTGGAGAAACACTCACGTCACTGTGGAAAGGAAACAAATCCCCAAATAGGTTTCAGAGTAACAGCCGTGTTAGTCTGTCTTTGCAAAAAGAAAAGGAGTACTTGTGGCACCTTAGAGACTAACCAATTTATTTGAGCATGAGCTTTTGTGAGCTCTGATGAAGTGAGCTGTAGCTCACGAAAGCTCATGCTCAAATAAATTGGTTAGTCTCTAAGGTGCCACAAGTACTCCTTTTCTTTTTGCAAATCCCCAAATAATTGCTCAGTGCAACCCATCTAGGTGCTGCACAGAACATATGCAATTACTTATTGATCTCACACACACCTAGGGGCCAAAACTCTGATCTTTCATCTTAGAAAACCACAGACCTCTACTGGAACATGTGTAGGGAGATCTTCCTTAGCTTGCTGCAGTAGCTTGGTCCTTTATTATTCCTGCCACTCGAGGGCACCATCGCAGACTCACTGACATACACATAGCTAATACATGGAAGCTGCAAACTGAACAACTTGAAGTCCTTCTCTTTCATTATAAAGGGGCACTGAGAAGCCTTTTAGACGATAACAAATTTTAGCTGACCTGAGCTGGATTCAATCCACTGGCCTAGTGATTAAGATATCTATAAATTGACCCTTATTGATCCATCCTAGATCCATTTAGTAGATCAGCAACGTGGTTTGTTAAAGATAAGCCAATATTCATTAACAGACATTTTAAATTCTTCTGAAAACAAACACCCAGGCTGAGGCTAATCTGAAATGCAGATGTTCCTGGTGCTAAATGCTGTCAAAACACAATGCTCACCAAAACAACCCCGGCAGCCTCAGATATTCATTCATTTCAAACACTGATACGTACGGACTCAGTCTTCTAAGGAATGGAGCCTAGTTCTTTCTCCATCCGTTTTTGAAATGAAAATTGAAACGAGTAAATACAAGAAGGCTCTTGTGACGTTTAGGTCCCTCTGTTCAGACCGAGGGAGAGGACCAGGGTTGGACACACGTATATGAGGAGGGATCAAAAAGATTGGGACTGCTCAATTTAGAAAAGAGATGACTCGGGGGAATATGGCAGAGCTTTGTAAAATCATGAAAGGTGTGGAGAAAGTGAATAGAATCATAGAAGATCAGGGTTGGAAGAGACCTCAGGAGGTCATCTAGTCCAACCCCCTGCTCAAAGCAGGACCAACCCCAACTAAATCATCCCAGCCAAGGCTTTGTCAAGCCAGGCCTTAAAAACCTCTAAAGAGGGAGATTCCACCACCTCCCTAGGTAACCCATTCCAGTGCTTCACCACCCTTCAATAAGGAAGTGTTATTTACCCCTTCACATAACACAAGAACCAGGAGTCACCCAATAAAATTAATAGGGAGCAGGTTTAAAATAAACAAAAGGAAGTGCTTCTGCACACACAATACAGTTAACCTGTGGAACTCATTGCCATGGGATGTTGTCAAGGCCAAAAGTCTAACTGGTTTCAAGTTCACGGAGCATAGGTCCATCAATGGCTATCAGCCAAGATGGTCAGTGACGCAACTCCATGTTCTGGGTTTTCCTAAACCTTCCCCTGCCAGAGGCTGGGACTGGACGACAGGGGATGGATTGCTCAATAATTGCCCTGTTCTGTTCATTCCCTCTGAAGCACCTGGTACTGGATACTGTCACAAGACAGGATACTGGGTTAGAGGGACCATTGTGGCCCAGTATGGCTGTCCTTTGTTTACCAGAGCAGCTCAAATAACTAAAATGTTTATTTGTGAATAACTATGTAATTAAAACAATGCCATAACTCACAATCGGTATTATTTATAATGTATTATTCTAACCAGTATTGATATGTATAATAGGTCTATTAATAAAACACTGAGATTTTGGCATTTAAGTCAATGCAACTTGCGGTACTAAGAAATTAAGGATATTCTCCCCTCAATATGTACATTTTTAGAGGCCCTTAGAAAATCTAGCCCTGCAAAGTGCAGGATATTTTTCTGCCTAGAAAGATGTGCTAAAGCCATGTACCAGGATGTTATTTCAGAGAAATCAAATGGCTCTATCCCAAAGAAACAGAGACAATATACCATTGCCATCAGCATCACATTCTGCCTTCCCAGTTTAGCTTCACTTAGCCGGCTTGCAATAGCTGTACATCCTTCAGGCACCAACAATTCTAACTTGACACACAGAGCCAATTTCGTATCTGGGGTAACTCCACTGAAACGAGTGATTTACAACAAAATGTTTGAAAAGTGGACGTGTCTTTGTGGAAGTTACCAAAATGCTAATGTTGGAATAAAACAGTTTATTAAGCAGTCCTGCTTAGATTGACAGAAATGAGAGACAAAGCAGATAGCAAT